AAATACCTCTTCGTATATGCAAATCTCTCTTTCTCCCACCAAATTGAATCGAAGACAAACACAGGTACTGGCGTAGCCATGTTAAGAGCTTCAACCCTCCACCTTTCCCCCTTCGCTTCCGTTTCTCCGTCGCCCGTATTTGCCCTTCTTCCAGCGCTCTCCGTTCATCGGAACTTGCCCTCCGCCCTGCTGCGAAAACCTCAGCCGCATATTGACCTCAGAGTCACGCAGCCGTTCTCCGTCGCTCGCCATTTTCGTAAGTGTTTTAGCTCTAGATTTGGTGGTGGTCCTCTCATGGCCGGTCAACCTTCCATCCCCAAGGCCACAGGTTTGTCATTATTGTTCTATCAGGACATAAAAAACGTCTACGTAATCTATGACGATCTTTTCGAATTTTGATTTTTATCCTATTATTCTTGTTGATTTTTATTTTTCCCAATTTGCGTGTTTTGATGGACGGATTTCTTTTATTTATAATGGTTTTTGTTCGTTTTTCTTTGTGATTTTGCTTAACTGCTGGTAATGGTCAATCGGGCTCATATTTGGATAAGGTCCTAAGATATTTATCTGTTCTACCTGTGAACTGTTCAATTAAACACAACATAAAAATATTGGTTTGTTTCATAGTTGTCAATCAGTTGATATGCAAGGAAAGGAGTGTGTACCATTAGCATCTTTGTTTTGTTTATAATGTACATCTCGAATTTCCTTTAGTTTGATAGTGGATTTAATTATGGACAATCTTCAGCTTCATTCAGCTCAGGGAGCGCTTCTGGAGGAGGTAGAGAAATATTGGTGCAGCATTTGCTTGTGAAAGAAGATGATCAAAAGCTTTTGCTTGAGCTACTGAAAAGAGCTGCTGAAGGTTGGTGATTAATAGCTTTTCGTCTAATATTTGTTTCCTTGATTCTTCTTCAGATGATGGGAGCCTTTTTGTATTTGTCACCATTTACTAGGCCAAAAGTTCGTGTGCTGAAGTTGTGTGAGGCATGATTAAAGAAAACAAATAATTTAATCACTGATGAGTTGTCTATAAGGATGGCAAGTTGTAGAATCAGTGAAGCTATCTGGAGCAAGCACCTTCAACTGTCTTTCATTTATTTGTGGTTTAGAAAATATAAAATCATTTTAGTTTTCCCTCTCTATCATTTTGGTGGTAAAATTAAAATTTCTTATTAAATCCAGGAGAGGACTTGAGTGACTTGGCTGTGGAGTACTCAATCTGTCCATCGAAAGAGGAGGGAGGTATGCTTGGTTGGGTGCGGAAGGGGCAGATGGTAAGCTGCTATGTTAGTTAATCCTTTTCTTTTTGGTATCAGGATAGTGAGATTGTTATTTTCATGAATGATAACATGAACAAGCAGTAAATTCAGATTGTTTATCTTAATAAATCCAAATTCGAGTTCTAATTTGTACCCTTCTGATGTCATCTGGTGAAAGTTTCCCAGGAGTTTGTTATACTATGTCCAAGCTCTTTGAAATTTGTACAACCCATAAATGAGTAGCATTAGAAGTTGAGTCATAAAAAAATAACCTGCAGTCAGCTCGGTGTCAGTATCTAACAGAAGGAGAAACTTGATATGGATCCTGCTATTTTGCGAAGTTTATTCTTACAATATTTTTACTTGTGATTCGTGTGCCTCAAATTTATCTTTTTGTCGCACTTTCACATTGACATTTCCCTCAGTTTTTCTTTTCGTTTTTCCTCTTGTTCTTCTTTTGTCTTAAGTTATTCTGATATATATCAGGTGCCGGAGTTTGAGGAAACTGCATTTAGTGCTCCACTAAATAAAGTCGTAAAGTGCAAGACTAAATTTGGTTGGCATTTATTGCAAGTTCTGTCTGAAAGGTTAGATACCAGATGTAACTGACACAAGTTTTTCCAAGAACTGGACTTCAAGCTTTTGAATGATTTGTTTATTTTTTATTTATTTTGTCTCTTACACTCTGTACCTACATACAGAGAAGAATCAGTCCTTGGACATATTCAGCCCAGTGAACTACATGATAAAATGCAAGATGCATCTTTCTTTGAAGAGGTCCAGCTAATTGATGTCAGAGAACCTGATGAAGTGTATGTTCCTAAATTTGCACCTCTCTACATTTATGAAACAGAAAAAGTGCTTACAAAAAGTAGTTGGTGAGCGAAAAAATTTCCAGGACTTATCTATTTGAAACTAATATGGTTTTTATATAACGACACACAGGCATATTTCAAATTGATTATGGTGCCTGAACTCTTATTTGCCAAAACTGTCAAACAATCTGAAAAAAAGACAATGTAATGAGAACTAAACACTTTTCCTCTAACTACATAAAATGATCCTATAGGCTTGTATCTCAGTTTGGAAAAGAGTATGTCACTCATTCAATCATCCGAAACCTTCCATTAGTATTGTCAGTTTATGTGATGCATTTTCATCCTTTTTGTTCATGTCCCTTTACAACAGGGCCAAAGCCTCATTGCCTGGTTTCAAAGTTCTTCCCCTTCGCCAGTTTGGAAATTGGGGGCCAGAAATTATGACCACATTTGATCCTCAAAAGGACACATACGTTATGGTATGTACAAACCTTTCTCCTATGTTCATTTCTGCGCCCTTATATGTTACAAAAGTTTGATTGGCTGAAGGCATTTTCTGTACTTCCCACAAGCTTCCTGTGAAAGATAAATCAAAATTGAATAACTGCCCGTGTCTTCAGTTAAACTTATCCTCCAAAGTATAATAGTTTGTTGTTTTGTACAAGTTATTGTGGTTGAGACTGAAAGTGTGCATCTCTTTGCATTACTGTTTCTTATGCAGTGTCATCATGGTATGCGGTCAATGCAAGTGGCCCAGTGGTTGCAAACACAGGTTGGGGTTCTTCTTTGGGTCTTGAAAGATACAAAATTCAGAACTCAATGTAGAATCAGAGCAACTGAATATTACTATTCTTGGCCAATTCAATGAACTTTAACAGACGAGAAATGATAATATTATAAAAGAAAAAAGAAAAAAAAACTTTTACAAATTGGCTAATGTTTATTTTGAAATGTGTAGCAATGAGTGGTTTTTATTTTGAATTTTGTATTGTTAAAATTGAGGTGAGAAGAAGTGAGACAGTGAACTGTGTATTTTCTTAAAAATAGAAAACAAAATCTCTAAAGAGATTAAGAGCGTGGAATTTTAATATCCAATTGCATCCTGTGTTCACATTTATTGTCACTTGTATTAATCCATGTAACTCTGGATTTTCAGGGTTTTAAGAAAGTATTCAATGTGTCGGGAGGAATTCACGAATACGCCCTAAAGGTGGATCTATCTATTCCTACTTACTAAATTACTGTCGACTTGGTGGAAGTTTCTATTTTTTCGTTGCGTTTCCATATTCAACCTGAGGAGTTGCCCCAACTGTTCTATACTGCTATACAGTCATTTGGGTACTGAGTTTGAGGCCTTGGTCGAAACTTTTGGCTCGCCACTTGTTTCTCTGCACAGATAGTATTTCTGTGATCCTTATAGGTCCTGACAAATATTTATCTGTTGTTTGAAACATGGACTTTTTTGTAAGTACTGACCATCCAAAATGATTTGGTAGCATAAAAGGTTCACCTTATTTTTCTCATTCTGCATTAGTCAGACTTACATGTACTGTTTAATGTCGCATTTTCTGTAATCTTATCCAACTGTTTTTTTCTGGTGGATATACAAATTAACCTGTATGTTGATGGATTTAAATAACTCAGCTTTTCATGTGGACTGTATGGCTTTCGTGAGATAATAAAAATAAATACATTGAAAATTTTCTTTTAAATACTTAACAAAAAAATATAGTAAATGTTAACGAAGATAAATAATCAACCAAATAAATATAAGTAATAAATGAATAATACGGTAACTTGGTGTTCATTTAGAGTTAATTCACAGTCCACTTATTTCTTGCTTCGATTCTTTCTATGCGAACCAATTCGAACCTGCTTACTCTGCTGAATCACTTAAATAAAGGTAATTTGATCCGAGGGCGTTGGTTTGTTTCTTGGAAATGAAAACAAATGAAGGGAGCTAATTTGTAATGTGTGTACAATTACCAATGACAATGGCTGCGAAAATAAATTGCAATCCAATGTTTTTACATCCAACCCGGTCAAAGAAGAATTAATTTTTAAAATTTAAATTATATTTGTATTATTTCACTTTATACTTAAACATAAAAATAACAAAAATATTCCTCTTATATATAATTATAGAACTCGCAGGGCAATATATAATTATAAAACGCGCTTGGCAGTTTTGCACACTACATAATCTTATGTGACAAAATATTACTATTTGTAATATGGCTCGGATAAATTTTTTTATGCCAAATGGCTTAAAATTTGGATTGCCAAAAAACTTACAATAAATTGGATAAATTTATCAGACATTAAACGGTTCAATTAAAAAATTACTCGATTTACAGGTTATTTAAGAATTATACTAAAGCCTTAATAGGATATAGGTAAAAGTAAACTAACAATTATTTAATAGCAGACCCATTACAGCTTTCAAATTGACTAAACATGAGAAAACCACACATCAGTTAACCACACACGAGTTCCACATAATCAGTTAACCTATTTTAGAAAAAAAGTAACAAAATCCAGTTGGTTACAATATAAACGAGGGATTAATGGGAAACTGAGATATGCTTCACCCAGAAAAATGCTTATTCCAATTTACACCATAGCCTGGGTGGAGGAAGTGGATTTGATTAACAATAGATATTGGTGTAAAAATATCAAATATTTGCACCAGAAGATAATCAGCTAGTGTGGGTTGCTCGTTTTACGGGAGCTCGTAAGGAAGAAAAATATTCGGCGTCTGTTTTTTCAATCCCGTCAAAAAGGTAACTAAAAGGAGGCATTTCTATATATTTTCCGGAACCAGGGATGACCTTAAGTTCATTGTCCTCCCAAACCACTCTTCCTCCAGCTATGGTTACTTCAACTTTTCCCTATATAGGNAAAAAAAGAAAAGAAAAAGAAAAAGAAAAAGTAAAAAGAAAGAGAGATGATTTAATTTTCCGAACCTTACAGGTTCCAGCAAGCAGAGGTCAGCATTTCAGATAGCAGCACGAAATATAGAACTTACTTGTTGATGAATAAGTCCAACTACTTTCTAAATAGGAACACATAAAAAAAAATAATAATAGAGGTATATAATATGATGATATTAAAGTGGTATGCATGTTACGTTAACGTCGCCAACTTAAATTTCGAAATAATTGCAGTTAGCACGAAGAAAGAAGAACAAAATTTACCTTCCCTCTTCTTCCCTCATAAACATTTGTATCTGTTTGAGAGTGGTGGGTAGTTGAACTGATTTCAAAGTTTGCATCAGGGTTTAATATGATGATATCTGCATCTGACCCAACTAGAATTGCTCCTTTTCTTGGATAGATGTTGAAAATTTTGGCACTGAATAAATAAATTTGAAAGAATAAAAATAAGAAAGTTAATCAGTACACGTGCTTACAGACAAGTTGAACGATTTCAAAAGGAGAGCAAAATGAAAGCATACCACTCGGTGCTAGTCACCCTAACATAATCAGCAACAGATATTTGTCCAGACACCTGGAACAAAAACAAAAAAAACAAAATAATAGGAAATAATCATCACCAAAATTTTTACCAAAAACAAAAAGAGCTGCAATTAATGCACAGAAAGGCAAAGTCTGCTTGAATTTTACAATAACTTGGAGAGCCGCAAGAGCCACCCGAGAAGATGTTATTTCTAGTTCAATGAGAATAAACTTTCAGTGTTGAACTAAATGATAACAATTATTGATTCTCTTAAAAAAAAAAAAAGAACTAAA